GAACTGATTCAGCAGAGTGGATCAGTAGACTGAAGTGGATCAGTAGAGTGAACTGATTCAGAAGAGTGGATCAGCAGAGTGAACTGAATCAGTAGGCTGAAGTGGATCAGTAGAGTGAACTGATTCAGCAGAGTGGATCAGTAGAGTGAACTGATTCAGAAGAGTGGATCAGTAGAGTGAACTGAATCAGTAGACTGAAGTGGATCAGTAGAGTGAACTGGATCAGTAAAGTGATTCAGTAGAGTTAACTGAATCAGTAGACTGAAGTGGATCAGTAGAGTGAACTGATTCAGAAGAGTGGATCAGTAGAGTGAAGTGGATCAGTAGAATCAACTGGATCAGTAGAGTGAACTGAATCAGTAGACTGAAGTGGATCAGTAGAGTGAACTGATTCAGTAGAGTGGATCAGTAAGACTGAAGTGGATCAGTAGAGTGAACTGATTCAGAAGAGTGGATCAGTAGACTGAAGTGGATCAGTAGAGTGAACTGATTCAGAAGAGTGGATCAGTAGACTGAAGTGGATCAGTAGAGTGAACTGATTCAGTAGAGTGGATCAGTAGGCTGAAGTGGATCAGTAGAGTGAACTGGATCAGTAGACTGAAGTGGATCAGTAAAGTGATTCAGTAAAGTGATTCAGTAAAGTTAACTGATTCAGTAGAGTGGATCAGTAGAGTGAACTGATTCAGTAGAGTGGATCAGTAGAGTGAACTGATTCAGTAGAGTGGATCAGTAGAGTGAACTGATTCAGTAGAGTGGATCAGTAGAGTGAACTGATTCAGTAAAGTGGATCAGTAGAGTGAACTGGATCAGTATACTGAACTGGATCAGTAAAGTGATTCAGTAAAGTTAACTGATTCAGTAGAGTGGATCAGTAGAGTGAACTGATTCAGTAGAGTGGATCAGCAGAGTGAACTGATTCAGTAGAGTGGATCAGTAGAGTGAACTGATTCAGTAGAGTGGATCAGTAGAGTGAACTGATTCAGTAGAGTGGATCAGTAGAGTGAACTGATTCAGTAGAGTGGATCAGTAGAGTGAACTGATTCAGTAGAGTGGATCAGCAGAGTGAACTGATTCAGTAGAGTGGATCAGTAGAGTGAACTGATTCAGTAGAGTGGATCAGCAGAGTGAACTGATTCAGTAGAGTGGATCAGTAGAGTGAACTGATTCAGTAGAGTGGATCAGTAGAGTGAACTGATTCAGTAGAGTGGATCAGTAGAGTGAACTGATTCAGTAGAGTGGATCAGCAGAGTGAACTGATTCAGTAAAGTGGATCAGTAGAGTGAACTGATTCAGTAGAGTGGATCAGCAGAGTGAACTGATTCAGTAAAGTGGATCAGTAGAGTGAACTGGATCAGTATACTGAACTGATTCAGTAGAGTGGATCAGTAGAGTGAACTGATTCAGTAGAGTGGATCAGTAGAGTGAACTGATTCAGTAGAGTGGATCAGTAGAAGTCATTAAGGCCTTCTGGCTCACAGATATAGGTTAAACTGAACTGGACCAGAAACCGGAACCAGGACCTCAATGCCTGAACATCAGTCCGGTTCCGGATTGGATCCTGCAGCACCTGAACCCTGGCTCGGTCTGTTATTGAAGTGATCCAGTCTGCCTCAGTAGTCTGAAGCAGCTGGTACCGGGCCTGGAGCAGCTGGTACCGGGCCTGCAGCAGCTGGTACCGGGCCTGCAGCAGCTGGTACCGGGCCTGCAGCAGCTGGTACCGGGCCTGCAGCAGCTGGTACCGGGCCTGCAGCAGCTGGTACCGGGCCTGGAGCAGCTGGTACCGGGCCTGCAGCAGCTGGTACCGGGCCTGGAGCAGCTGGTACCGGGCCTGCAGCAGCTGGTACCGGGCCTGGAGCAGCTGGTACCGGGCCTGGAGCAGCTGGTACCGGGCCTGGAGCAGCTGGTACCGGGCCTGCAGCAGCTGGTACCGGGCCTGGAGCAGCTGGTACCGGGCCTGGAGCAGCTGGTACCGGGCCTGGAGCAGCTGGTACCGGGCCTGCAGCAGCTGGTACCGGGCCTGCAGCAGCTGGTACCGGGCCTGGAGCAGCTGGTACCGGGCCTGCAGCAGCTGGTACCGGGCCTGCAGCAGCTGGTACCGGGCCTGCAGCAGCTGGTACCGGGCCTGCAGCAGCTGGTACCGGGCCTGGAGCAGCTGGTACCGGGCCTGCAGCAGCTGGTACCGGGCCTGCAGCAGCTGGTACCGGGCCTGCAGCAGCTGGTACCGGGCCTGGAGCAGCTGGTACCGGGCCTGGAGCAGCTGGTACCGGGCCTGGAGCAGCTGGTACCGGGCCTGCAGCAGCTGGTACCGGGCCTGGAGCAGCTGGTACCGGGCCTGGAGCAGCTGGTACCGGGCCTGGAGCAGCTGGTACCGGGCCTGGAGCAGCTGGTACCGGGCCTGGAGCAGCTGGTACCGGGCCTGGAGCAGCTGGTACCGGGCCTGGAGCAGCTGGTACCGGGCCTGCAGCAGCTGGTACCGGGCCTGCAGCAGCTGGTACCGGGCCTGGAGCAGCTGGTACCGGGCCTGGAGCAGCTGGTACCGGGCCTGCAGCAGCTGGTACCGGGCCTGGAGCAGCTGGTACCGGGCCTGGAGCAGCTGGTACCGGGCCTGCAGCAGCTGGTACCGGGCCTGGAGCAGCTGGTACCGGGCCTGCAGCAGCTGGTACCGGGCAAGGAGAGCAGCTGGTACCGGGCCTGCAGCAGCTGGTACCGGGCCTGCAGCAGCTGGTACCGGGCCTGCAGCAGCTGGTACCGGGCCTGGAGCAGCTGGTACCGGGCCTGCAGCAGCTGGTACCGGGCCTGCAGCAGCTGGTACCGGGCCTGGAGCAGCTGGTACCGGGCCTGGAGCAGCTGGTACCGGGCCTGCAGCAGCTGGTACCGGGCCTGCAGCAGCTGGTACCGGGCCTGGAGCAGCTGGTACCGGGCCTGGAGCAGCTGGTACCGGGCCTGCAGCAGCTGGTACCGGGCCTGCAGCAGCTGGTACCGGGCCTGGAGCAGCTGGTACCGGGCCTGCAGCAGCTGGTACCGGGCCTGCAGCAGCTGGTACCGGGCCTGGAGCAGCTGGTACCGGGCCTGCAGCAGCTGGTACCGGGCCTGGAGCAGCTGGTACCGGGCCTGCAGCAGCTGGTACCGGGCCTGGAGCAGCTGGTACCGGGCCTGCAGCAGCTGGTACCGGGCAAGGAGAGCAGCTGGTACCGGGCCTGCAGCAGCTGGTACCGGGCCTGCAGCAGCTGGTACCGGGCCTTCAGCAGCTGGTACCGGGCCTGGAGCAGCTGGTACCGGGCCTGGAGCAGCTGGTACCGGGCCTGCAGCAGCTGGTACCGGGCAAGGAGAGCAGCTGGTACCGGGCCTGCAGCAGCTGGTACCGGGCCTGGAGCAGCTGGTACCGGGCCTGCAGCAGCTGGTACCGGGCCTGGAGCAGCTGGTACCGGGCCTGCAGCAGCTGGTACCGGGCCTGCAGCAGCTGGTACCGGGCCTGGAGCAGCTGGTACCGGGCCTGGAGCAGCTGGTACCGGGCCTGGAGCAGCTGGTACCGGGCCTGCAGCAGCTGGTACCGGGCCTGGAGCAGCTGGTACCGGGCCTGGAGCAGCTGGTACCGGGCCTGGAGCAGCTGGTACCGGGCCTGCAGCAGCTGGTACCGGGCAAGGAGAGCAGCTGGTACCGGGCCTGGAGCAGCTGGTACCGGGCCTGGAGCAGCTGGTACCGGGCCTGGAGCAGCTGGTACCGGGCCTGCAGCAGCTGGTACCGGGCCTGGAGCAGCTGGTACCGGGCCTGGAGCAGCTGGTACCGGGCCTGGAGCAGCTGGTACCGGGCCTGGAGCAGCTGGTACCGGGCAAGGAGAGCAGCTGGTACCGGGCCTGCAGCAGCTGGTACCGGGCAAGGAGAGCAGCTGGTACCGGGCCTGCAGCAGCTGGTACCGGGCCTGGAGCAGCTGGTACCGGGCCTGCAGCAGCTGGTACCGGGCCTGGAGCAGCTGGTACCGGGCCTGCAGCAGCTGGTACCGGGCCTGCAGCAGCTGGTACCGGGCCTGGAGCAGCTGGTACCGGGCCTGCAGCAGCTGGTACCGGGCCTGGAGCAGCTGGTACCGGGCCTGCAGCAGCTGGTACCGGGCCTGCAGCAGCTGGTACCGGGCCTGCAGCAGCTGGTACCGGGCCTGCAGCAGCTGGTACCGGGCCTGGAGCAGCTGGTACCGGGCCTGGAGCAGCTGGTACCGGGCCTGGAGCAGCTGGTACCGGGCCTGCAGCAGCTGGTACCGGGCCTGGAGCAGCTGGTACCGGGCCTGCAGCAGCTGGTACCGGGCCTGGAGCAGCTGGTACCGGGCCTGGAGCAGCTGGTACCGGGCAAGGAGAGCAGCTGGTACCGGGCCTGCAGCAGCTGGTACCGGGCCTGGAGCAGCTGGTACCGGGCCTGCAGCAGCTGGTACCGGGCCTGGAGCAGCTGGTACCGGGCCTGCAGCAGCTGGTACCGGGCCTGCAGCAGCTGGTACCGGGCCTGGAGCAGCTGGTACCGGGCCTGCAGCAGCTGGTACCGGGCCTGGAGCAGCTGGTACCGGGCCTGCAGCAGCTGGTACCGGGCCTGCAGCAGCTGGTACCGGGCCTGGAGCAGCTGGTACCGGGCCTGGAGCAGCTGGTACCGGGCCTGCAGCAGCTGGTACCGGGCCTGCAGCAGCTGGTACCGGGCCTGGAGCAGCTGGTACCGGGCCTGGAGCAGCTGGTACCGGGCCTGCAGCAGCTGGTACCGGGCCTGGAGCAGCTGGTACCGGGCCTGCAGCAGCTGGTACCGGGCCTGCAGCAGCTGGTACCGGGCCTGCAGCAGCTGGTACCGGGCCTGCAGCAGCTGGTACCGGGCCTGCAGCAGCTGGTACCGGGCCTGCAGCAGCTGGTACCGGGCCTGGAGCAGCTGGTACCGGGCCTGGAGCAGCTGGTACCGGGCCTGCAGCAGCTGGTACCGGGCCTGCAGCAGCTGGTACCGGGCCTGGAGCCGGGGGTTCCGCCGGTCCTTACCTGATCCAGCAACGACCAGAACAGCAACATGAGCTCCGGTTCCGAAGGGCTGCCTGGATCCCCGGCTGAGCAGCAGGTAAAGGCGAAGCAGCAGCAATGCAGCGAGCAGAACCAGGCTGAGCAGAACCCCCAGCAGCAACATCATCACTGCAGCTACGGAAGCTCTGGAGGACCATAACAGCCAGCCGCGCTTTTCTTCTGAACACAAGCAGGAGGCTTTACTGCCCCCTGTGGCTGAGCGGAGGCACTGCTTCACTCCGCTCCTCAGCAGGTTCTCCTGCTCCTCCTCTAAATGTTCTGAGAAGCATCCCGCTGCAGCCTTCCCGCAGGCTTCAGCGGGATGTACTTGAATGTTCTCCCCATCATCCCAGCTGCTTCGGTTTATAAACTAGACGCCTGATTGGACGCTCGCCGAGGGGCCTAGAGGGCGGCCATCTTGGGTCAGACCAGCTGCTGTCAGAGTAAACAGGAGGCTCCTTTGATCTCATTTTACTCCCATGAAGGAGTCAGAGATTATATTACAATAATCTCTGACACGTCACAACCACTTAAAGACCAAATCTCATTCTAGAATGACCTTTCAGTTATACAGATTTATTCAGATTAAAAACTGTTTACACTGAACTCAAACTGGATGAGATTTATGCAAAGTTAGATATTTTGCAAATATTAATATGATAAACACAAAGTGTTATATCAATATTATGTTTTACAAATATTATACACTACCGTTCAAAAGTTTGGGGTCACCCAAACAATTTATGTTTTCCTGAAAAGTCACACTTATTCACCACCATACATTGTGAAATAAATAGAAAATAGAGTCAAGACATTGACAAGGTTAGAAATAATGATTTATATTTAAAATAAGATTTTTTTTCCATCAAACTTTGCTTTTGTCAAAGAATCCTCCATTTGCAGCAATCCCAGCATTGCAGACCTTTGGCATTCTAGCTGTTAATCTGTTGAGGTAATCTGGAGAAATTCCCCCCCACGCTTCCAGAAGCTCCTCCCACCAGTTGGATTGGTTGGATGGGCGCTTCCTGCGTCCCATACGGTCAAGCTGCTCCACAACAGCTCAATGGGGTTCAGATCTGGTGACTGCGCTGGCCACTCCATTACAGATAGAATACCAGCTGCCTGCTTCCTCTCTAAATAGTTCTGCACAATTTGGAGGTGTGTGTAGGGTCATTGTCCTGTTGTAGGATAAATTGGCTCCAATCAAGCGCTGTCCACTGGGTATGGCATGGCGTTGCAAAATGGAGTGATAGCCTTCCTTATTCAGAATCCCTTTTACCCTGTACAAATCTCCCACCTTACCAGCACCAAAGCAACCCCAGAGCATCACATTACCTCCACCGTGCTTAACAGATGGCGTCAGGCATTCTTCCAGCATCTTTTCATTTGTTCTGTGACTCACAAACGTTCTTCTTTGTGATCCAAACACCTCAAACTTGGATTCATTCGTCCACAACACTTTTTTCCAGTCTTCCTCTGTCCAATGTCTGCGTTCTTTTGCCCATCTTAATCTTTTTCTTTTATTGGCCAGTCTCAGATATGGCTTTTTCTTTGCCACTCTGCCCTGAAGCCCAGAATCCTGTATTGTATTGTATTGTATTGTATTGTATTCTATTCTATTCTATTCTATTCTATTCTATTCTATCCTATTGTATTTTATTCTATTCTATTCTATTCTATTCTATTCTATCCTATTGTATTTTATCCTATTGTATTTTATTCTATTCTATCCTATTGTATTTTATTCTATTCTTTTCTATTCTATCTTATTGTATTGTATTGTATTTTATTCTATTCTATTGTATTCTATTCTATCTTATTGTATTGTATTTTATTCTATTCTATTCTATTCTATTCTATCCTATTGTATTTTATCCTATTGTATTTTATTCTATTCTATCCTATTGTATTTTATTCTATTCTATTCTATTCTATCTTATTGTATTGTATTTTATTCTATTCTATTCTATTGTATTCTATTCTATCTTATTGTATTGTATTTTATTCTATTCTATCCTATTCTATTCTATTCTATTCTATCTTATTGTATTGTATTCTATTCTATTCTATTCTATTCTATTCTATTCTATTCTATTCTATTCTATTCTATTGTATTCTATTGTATTCTATCTTATTGTATTGTATTTTATTCTATTCTATTCTATTGTATTCTATCTTATTGTATTGTATTTTATTCTATTCTATCCTATTCTATTCTATCCTATTGTATTTTATTCTATTCTATTCTATTGTATTTTATTCTATTCTTTTCTATTCTATTCTATTCTATTCTATTCTATCTTATTGTATTGTATTTTATTCTATTCTATCCTATTGTATTTTATTCTATTCTTTTCTATTCTATTCTATTCTATTCTATTCTATTCTATTCTATTCTATTCTATTCTATTCTATTCTATTCTATCTTATTGTATTGTATTTTATTCTATTCTATTCTATTCTATTGTATTCTATCTTATTGTATTGTATTTTATTCTATTCTATCCTATTCTATTATAATCTATTCTATTCTATTCTATCTTATTGTATTGTATTTTATTCTATTCTATTCTATTGTATTCTATCTTATTGTATTGTATTTTATTCTATTCTATCCTATTCTATTATAATCTATTCTATTCTATTCTATCTTATTGTATTGTATTTTATTCTATTCTATTCTATTGTATTCTATCTTATTGTATTGTATTTTATTCTATTCTATCCTATTCTATTCTATTCTATTCTATTCTATTCTATTCTATTCTATTCTATTCTATTCTATTCTATTGTATTCTATTGTATTCTATCTTATTGTATTGTATTTTATTCTATTCTATTCTATTGTATTCTATCTTATTGTATTGTATTTTATTCTATTCTATCCTATTCTATTCTATTCTATTCTATTCTATTCTATTCTATTCTATTCTATTGTATTCTATTCTATTCTATCTTATTGTATTGTATTTTATTCTATTCTATTCTATTGTATTCTATCTTATTGTATTGTATTTTATTCTATTCTATCCTATTCTATTCTATCCTATTGTATTTTATTCTATTCTATTCTATTGTATTTTATTCTATTCTTTTCTATTCTATTCTATTCTATTCTATTCTATTCTATTCTATCTTATTGTATTGTATTTTATTCTATTCTATCCTATTGTATTTTATTCTATTCTTTTCTATTCTATTCTATTCTATTCTATTCTATTCTATTCTATTCTATTCTATTCTATTCTATCTTATTGTATTGTATTTTATTCTATTCTATTCTATTCTATTGTATTCTATCTTATTGTATTGTATTTTATTCTATTCTATCCTATTCTATTATAATCTATTCTATTCTATTCTATCTTATTGTATTGTATTTTATTCTATTCTATTCTATTGTATTCTATCTTATTGTATTGTATTTTATTCTATTCTATCCTATTCTATTATAATCTATTCTATTCTATTCTATCTTATTGTATTGTATTTTATTCTATTCTATTCTATTGTATTCTATCTTATTGTATTGTATTTTATTCTATTCTATCCTATTCTATTCTATTCTATTCTATTCTATTCTATTCTATTCTATTCTATTCTATTCTATCTTATTGTATTGTATTTTATTCTATTCTATTCTATTGTATTCTATCTTATTGTATTGTATTTTATTCTATTCAAAGTCTGCAGTAGAATCCTGTTTCTATCAGCTTAATGCGGTTGTGTCTCAGAGTCATTGTGTGTTATCACTTCCACCTCTTCTTGACGGCAATAAAGAGTTTGGTACTGCTGGTGTGAAGTCAGCTTTATTAAAATTCTTCTTATAATTTCTTTTCCACTGACACCAAAACCACCATCGAACTAAAATACAACATAAACTTAAATGAGATGGTTTCATGAGTACAAAACGACATAAAAAATAATATAAATACATATAAACATACCTCGCTGGCTGACCCTTCCTTTTGAGGTAGAAATGAGAAATAAAGGACCTTTTAAACTTAAATTTCTTTGTAAAACTTCTTGCAAATGTCATGCCTTCATGCTGCGTGCATCTTTTTCTTCTAGTTTTTCAGCGAACATGCTAGATTCCACTTCCTAAAGAAGCCTTTCAAAATAAGACTCATAATGACAAAAAATCTGCATAATACAAAATAAAAAAAGTAAACCAAAAAATATGGCAGTAAAATGTGTTTTGAACATGTTGTGGGTTTTAAGGGGCAGCTGTGTGTAAAGATTTGCTGATGAGGTTTGAACTTCAGGGCCACCGTAGCTTCAGGTAGCAGACCCGGGTCTTCAGCGCCCTGCCCCCTGCTGGTCAACAGGAGCATTGCAGCGCAGGATGGATTGTGGCGTTAGATCAGTAAATAATAAAGGCTCAGGTAGATTTCTGTTGTCATGGAAACATCTCAGCCCTACCACCATCTGCTCACCACCCTGATGATGATGATGATGATGATGATGATGATGATGATGATGATGATGATGATGATGATGATGATGATGATGACAGATTAGTATTAGTAGAGGCAGAACCTCCAGGTTTCCAGACTCTGAGGATCAGGGAGGACTTCACGCCTCGTGGCTGCAGCTCCTCCTCCTCCTCCTCCTTCTCCTTTCCTGCAGCTCCTCCTCCTTTCCCGCAGCTCCTTCTCCTCCTCCTTTCCTGCAGCTCCTCCTCCTTTCCCGCAGCTCCTTCTCCTCCTCCTTTCCTGCAGCTCCTCCTCCTTTCCCGCAGCTCCTTCTCCTCCTCCTTTCCTGCAGCTCCTCCTCCTTTCCTGCAGCTCCTCCTCCTTTCCCGCAGCTCCTTCTCCTCCTCCTTTCCTGCAGTCCCCCTCCTCCTTTCCTGCATGCAGATGTCCTCAGGAGGAGCGGCTGCTGCTCTCCAGGCTGTGGGACATGGGGACCATCAGGAAGGAGTGAACAGCAACAGCTGCGGAGGAGCTGGAATTTCCGAGCAGACCTGAAGGCAGCATGTGGAAGCCCAGTCTGCTGAGGGAGCATCATCATCCTCATCATCATCATCATCGTCCTCATCATCATCACCAGCAGCAGCAGCATCATGTCTGGACTCTCCCTCACAGGTGGGTGTGTGATCACCGCTCCTCAGCCTCCGTGGATCCTCCCTGGATCCTCCCTGGATCCTCCGTGGATCCTCCCTGGATCCTCCGTGGATCCT